CTAATCTTGCATTAACTATAACTTGTACATTAATGGAAAATATTTAATGGAAAACCATCCTTTTCTGTTGCGGAATAATTCACTTTCTTTTCCACCTACAATATTAGGGAAAGTTATATATCAAAAGAATGTATATTGTATTTACATAAAAAACCACTTAAATTCTACTTACCAAACGATTGTATTTTTATATGAGTACAATCCATACAGCCAATAATACGAATAAATTTGGCAGTTTGGTAAAATTCCTTCTCATTTCGACGAATTTCTTCAGGTAATATTGGAAGTTTTATAAACTCATTTCTTAATGCAGCAATAGCATTGGATATACGGTGAACAATTCTCTGAGTACTCTTGATATACTAATTCCACAGAAATCTCCAATAGTTTGCAAAAAGGATCATGAACAATTCTCTGAGTACTTTTGATATACTAATTCCACAGAAATCTCCAATAGTTTGCAAAAAGGATCCTGTTGCATAGAATCATAATGCAACTAACAATTGTATAATAGGTGGAATAGCATCATTACTGTAAAAATAACAGTATTTAACAGTAATTAACGTTATTTATATAATCTTACTATTATATATATATATATATACACACATATATATATATATATACACACACACATATATTTGTACATACCAATCAGTTTTTGGTCGTATTTCATCTTCTATTTTTTCCAAAAATATCATAAAATGATTTTTTGATATTCTAAACCTTGACCTGAAATCTACATCGTCAAACAATTCTAAATAATTTATACGTGGTTTGATTTTACGTGGTCTTCGACGTTTTTCTAAATTGTAACCAGCAAATTCGTCAAAAAATATGTAATTTATAATATCATTCATTTTGTATTCTCATTCACTGATGAAATTTCAGATAGACAAAGCTCCGTAAAATTGACAATATATAAGAGGTTACGAGAGAATATGAATGTCTGTTGGCCACCCTGCTAACTTTAACCGTCGGTTAATCTAACCGTGATTGGTGAAATTGGCCCTAACTGTACCTAGTGAAAAATGATAATAGAACCCTTCGAATCGACATTGAATTGATGATTATGGCGTCAATTCGATTCCATTATCATTTCTC